AAACTGCGGGGAACTATGCAAAAAACGTATCTTCGCACGGGCAGCCCGTGCGTTGGCCAATTATTTCTACCGGAGCCGGACTGTTGCCGTAAATGCCTGCCTTCAATGTGCATACTTTGCTCGGCAGAAAGATGGCGTAATTGGTATTATTAAATTTTTTTTCCGGGATTTTATTTAACTTTTTCTCGTTTTACCGATAAGAAGCATATTGGTTTTATTAAAGAATTCGTAACACTCGCCGTTACTGTAGAACAACAACAGGTTCTGGCTTAAAAAATTGGGAAACATAAATCTGCTGGGCATTGTTTCAAAACGTTGCAGATAACAACTGATAAGCAAGTAAATAATGTTCTCATCAAACAAAAAGCATTTGATACGTAAATTGCGATAACTGTTGATTGTTAGAAGAATTTCTTCAATTTCTTGTCCTCCTGTCCCATATTTTTTTGCAAAAAAAAAGAAAACATTTTCAGATGCTGAGAAGAAATTCTAACTTTTTCTACTTATACCTCATTTCCCAGATGAGTTCCAAAATCTCTCTTTTCCCTCAGACCTCTCTTCCGTACTTCGTTCCTTAGGGAGTACAAAATCTCCATCCTCCTTCCCTCCTGCTATGCCTCGTTCGTTTCTGTACCTGTCTGGTCAAAAAAACGCAATAAAATAGATCGTTGTCTCCTCATTTGGAGGAAACAAAAATTTATTAGATCCAGTGCGGTGATATTGATATCCTGAGCGATTTTGGTCATGTACGCAACGAGGAAAAAAAGCAATAATAATTTGTTTCGCACTGTTCTGGTCATCCATCACCCAATCAACAGTAGTAGTACGGTTTCCCCCCATTAACCCCTGCGTGAAATTCGTTGCATAAATCTGCTACATTGACCTATTCCATCCATTCCAATCAGCAGAAACGTTCTCGCACTCGCCACTTTCTGAAGGTCGGTTCCTTATTGCTGCTGGTGCAAAAATTCGCCACAACATGCCAGGAACAACAACTACGTATAGGAGGGACGGTGCTCATCTTTTCTATTATATTTTAACGGTTTTATTAGCAACACCTTGGCTGTTAGCAATACCACTGGATAATGGGATTATCGGTGAGCCTGAACTGGAATGTGGCCCAGTTTCGATTGCACTCACATTCGCTACTCTCAATTCTTTCCACGGACATGTCTATGTGAAAGGTCGTTTCGAGGAACCTGGTTGCAGGTAGGTATTGCTGATCCGTGTATTATCTGTCTGTCTGAGCATAGATCCGCAGCATATAAAATGTATTAAAAAACCTCAAGACTATCCGTGAGGATATCCCATTTTAGTAATATATTACCGGGATTCTCTTATGCCGCGCACAACTACACCAGGTCATTCTGACTTGTGTTCCTCTCGTGCATAATACATATACTCTACGTAAAATATGCCCTAATTTTTTTATTGAAAATTAGATACACTGATGTGCAACATTTCAACAATATCATTTTCTACGCGACATCAGCAGTCTTAATCCAGTCTCACTTTTTTGCTCAGACACGATGAAATCAAACTTTTAAAGGTCAAAATAAAATTAAAATACTTGTCAATTTTGTTAAAACTAGATCTCGTTAATTTGTTAAAATTAAATATTTGTCAGTTTGTTAATATTTGTTAAAATCTTCCCGCATTTGCTCTTTTTGAGGTGAAAAGCACTCGGGAAGTAGTCAAAATGTGGAAAAAATACCAATATCAGCCATGCACTGGTGAGCATATCGGTGGCTCCGTCCTTCGAAAGACTGCTTGTAAGCAGCATATACCAGTACCAATTTAACCACGAAATTAAGGAGGGAGTAGTAGAGGAACTTGATGCGTCCTAGTCTTAATCGCTGGCCTTGGTACTCTTTAGTCTTACAGAAACTAAAAGAGACTTTTTCCACTCTCTCAGCATAAAAACGGCGCTCGTAATCGTAGTAGTTATCAATATTAGATCAGACGGAACTGGCGAAAAATCGGCTGGCCTCACGTTGCCGTTCAGTACTTGCGGTATTTTGCGTGAACGTTCGTTGAGTCCACGTGGTATATTTGCATCAGCAACCATAATCATTACATTCCATCCATATTTCCTCACAAAAGTGGATCGAGCGTTCAACGTCAAATGTTTCTACATGGAAGCTGATAAGGTATATCATCATACGATTTCCACTTTTATTCCAGCTGGTAACAATAACAGCAACAATATTAATATGGCAACAGTGATAATGACGCTAACAACACCAATGTCATGGTAATAAGGATAAAATAATAAACAACAACAATAACGTCAGTGAAAGGAACGACAGCAAATGCAATAAAATAGTATTGACAACAGTGATAAAAATAACAGTGATAATAATAGCAATAATAACTTCAACACTGCTTAAATATGATTGTTGTCAACAACATTATCAATTATAGTCACATAATAATAAACACAGCAAAACAATACTAACAACAATAACGCATCGACAATAATAACAATAA